GCCCCACACATAGAGCCACAAATTGGTGAAGTTGGTTGTCCTTCCCTGGCAATTATCTAAGGTTCCACTCCAAACAATTTACAGGTGCCTTTTCTACATAGACTACAGTACTAAAACAGGAAATAAAAGCAGCTCTTCCTAAACACAGAAACTAATACAGGGAGGTTGCCAAATTAAGGAGGCAAAGAAATATGGCCCAAGTGAAAGAAGACATCAAAACCCCAGAAAAAGAAATAAATGAAATAGAGATAGCCAACCTATCAGAGGCAGAGTTCAAACCAATGGCAATCAGGATGCTCAGAGAACCCACTGAGTAAGGCCACAAAATAAAGGAAGAAATAAAAAATACACTCAGTGAAATAAAGAAAAATATACAGGGAACCAACAGTGAAGGGAAAGAAGCTGGAATCAAATCAATGATTTGAAACATAAGGAAGAAATAAACATTCAACCAGAACAGAAAGAAGAAACAAAATTTCAAAAAATTGAGGAGAGACTTAGGAACCTCTGGATAACTTTAAATGCACCAACATTAGAATTGTACGGATTCCAGAAGAAGAAGAGGAAGAGCAAGAAATTGGAAACTTATTTGAAAAAATAATTAATAAAAACTTCCCTAATTTGGTGAAGGAAATAGACATATAAGTCCAGGAAGCACAAGTCCCAAAGAAGCTGAACCCAAAGAAGACCACACCAAGACACATCATAAATAACGTGCCACAAGTTAAAGATAAAGAGAGAATCTTAAAAGCAGCAATGAAAAAGCAGAACTTAGTAACTTACAAAGGTATTCCCATAAGACTATCAACTGATTTCTGATAAGAAACCTTCCAGGCAAGAAGGGGCTAGAAAGAAGTATTCCAAGTCATGAAAAGCAAAGACCTATAACCAAGATGACTCCATCCAGCAAAGCTTTCATTTAGAATGGAAGGGCAGATAAAGTGCTTCACAGATAAGGTCAAGTTAAAGGAATTCATCATCATCAAGCCCTTATTATATGAAATGTTAAAGGGACTTATTTAATAAGAAGATCAAAACTATGAACATTAAAATAACAACAAACTCATAACTACCAACTGAACCTAAAAAACAAACTAAGCAAACAAGCAGAAGAAGAACAGAATCATAGATATGGAGATCATTTGGAGGGTTATCAGCAGGGAGAGAAGGGAGGACAAGGTACATTGATTAAGAAGTACAAATTGGTAGGTGCAAAATAGACAGGGGGATATTAAAAACAGTACACAAAATGAAGAAGCCAAAGAAATTATATGCATTATCCACGGACATGAACTAAGTGGGAAGATTGCTGGAAGGAAGGGGGGTACCAGGCAGAAGGGAGCAAAGGGGGGAAAACTGGGACAACCTTAACAGTGTAATCAATGAAATATACTGAAATAAAGTAAAATTTTAGCTTTCTTTTTGAATAATTTTTAAATATTAAACCACATCCTAGAAGTAATGTAACTAAAAAAAGGAATGTTTTTCTGTATATTTTAAGATAAAAATTAAAATATAAAGTATGTTAGAATTTATCATTTCTAGAATATCTGTTTTAATAAAATGTACATATAAATAGAATATATTCATTTTTTATTCAACAGTTTTTATGTACTTTAAGTATATTAAATAGGCCTGATTAGTTAAAAAACTTATTTAGTAAAAGAGGGAGAATAATTACTGAGGTATTCCAGGGGACCAATGGAACAATTTAAAGTCATTTCTCAGTTAGAAAGAATTTTAAAATTTGAACTTTGGGAATGGTGTCAATAAACTTAACCAAAAGAATATATAACAAACTTTTTGTAAAGTAACTACTTTTTTATGGTAATCACATTAAAAGATATTATTTAAACTTCAAATAGGTTTTATATCAAATAATTTGTCCAGAGATAGGATTTTGTTTAATTTATGTTTATTATTTTAGGCCAACAAAATATTATACCCTATTATGACATCTGGAGGCAGAAAACCTATTACATGTAATATGAGGTCTGTCCAGAAAAAGACCAGCCATTATTAATATAACAAGAATGGTTTGTGCTACCCTGATGAACCAGGCAGCCAAGGAGAGTGGACTGGAATGCCCACATGTAAACAATAATGATTTCCCTGTACTAGTCAGTGGGGACTGTAGACACCATTGAGTGAACACGTATAACTGTGTGGCCGTCATATTCCAAATGAGCAAGTAGAGCAACGAATCTGCATCAAATTTTGTGTTAAGTTTGAAAATTTCTCCACAAAAACTATTTGGATGATTCAGAAGGCCACAGTTATGGGCAACTGGTAACTGGCAGCTTCATCACAACATACCCATTCATGCATCACTTTTCCTGCATAGTTTTTTAGTGAAACATCAAATCACCCAGGTGACTCAGCCTGCCTATGGCCTGGATTTTGTGCCCCTGCAATTTCTGGCTTTTCCCCAAATTAAAATCACCTTTGAAAGACCATCAGTGAGATTCAGCAAAACACAGTGGAGCAGCTGACAGTGATTGGGAGAACTGTGTGAGGTCCCAAAGCACCTAACTTGAAGCAAACTAAGGCGTCATTTTCCTGTGTACAATGTTTCTTCTTGTATCTTTTTCAATAAATGTCTCTATTTTTTCATATTACATGGCTGGATACCTCTGGACCTCATATACACAAATATATATTATATAAAGACCACACATATGAAGACTGAACACATAGAGACTATATACATATTGTGAATTACTAATTTTTGTGGAGAAAGTACACAATTTTTTTACTTTGTTTATATAATTTTTCTGCAACTTTTAGACCCTCTTAGTTTGCCTCTTTTAACTCATTCAAAAATTAAAACATTTCAAATTTATTTTAAAAATCTAATGTATATATTTATAATAAAAATACTCTTATAAAAGTTATGTATTTTTAAAACTTAATTACAACTTATTTTTTAGTGACGACTAAAAGTAATTACTATTCTTTAAATTTAAGATTGACAAATTTAGGAATATATTTTATAGTTTTCAGAAAATTTTTTATTCACAAGTACATTTATATTTTTATTTTTCGTGATTACTCATTCCTTTAGTGTGCTCAAAAGTAAGCTGTTTTATTATTTAGTGTTCTTTACAACTTTTACAAAAGCTGAAGAGGCAGGGGAGAGATCAGCCTTGGGCTTATTCCCGGGACTGCAGCTCCTGGGCTTCCAGAAAGAGAATTTACACTGTTTAAAAGACTCATTTTTTTCTCTCAGTTTTATTGTCTGAGAGGGGAGTGAGATTTTTTCCATGTTTAAACCATCAACTTAAATTGTCTGAGTAAAATTTTTGATGTAACAACATGATACACTGTATACAAGAGATTTTATGCCATTTACCAGAACTTTGGCGAAACAATCAAGGTTGTGACCACACCATTCCTTTTGAAACAGAAACAAGAACAATATTTAAAGCAAAGGCAAAGTTTCAAGGAGAGACTGAAACTAGCCTTAGAATTTTATTTCCTCATTTTTCTTTTCAAGTTAAGCTCACCCTCTAACTGCCATACTTTCCCTTCAGCCTCTAGCTGCACTGGCACAGTATATGCAGTAGGGGTCAGCCCACTACTACTAATGCCATGCATGTTTTTTCTTTTTCCCAGTGGCAGCATTCTGCCTTTAAAGGTATAACCTGTGAGAGTGTTTGGGTGTCCCTTCAATAATGAGGGTCCCAGCAATCAAACAGGCTTGTCACCTCATGCCACACTGAACCACTGGACCACCCTGGAATTCTCCTCAGTGACCTCTCCATGGACTACCCCTAGATTACTCCTAGCAACCTCTCCAGGATTCCCCCTGGTAACCTTAACCACTCAGCATATGGGCACTCTCAGTCAACTCAACAAGTGTACTTTCTTGAACATCATGTTCATGACGCCAACTGTAACACAGAAGCTCTTAGCCAGGAAGCTGTTTAAAAGTGTTTTATGATATTACAAAAAAAAACCAAAAACCCACCAGAGGACCAGGTGTTGTGGACATATTGTTTATTGTTTACATTATAGGAGAATACACCAATGGTGGGGGACTGGTGTGAGAGACTGGACCCCACCTCCAGCCTCCGAGTTACTTATAGCATTAGGGATAGAGTAGCATGTGAATATTCTACACTTTGCTGATAAACACAGGAGTCTTCGGACACACAGGCCTTGAGAGGGCTAGGATATCCAAATATGGACTTTTTTTTTCATTTCTTATGGTTGATGGCCAGGCAGCCACCTATTCTCTAAGGTCATGGAGGGGCCATGTCCTGAGTTACCCTACATTTCTATATGTACTGGCCAATTCAGGAGTCCCTAGTTACATATGACTATAAGCACTTGAAATGTTGTTAGTAATATTGAGAAAGTAAATTTTTAATTTTCCTTAATCTTAACTCATTTAAATAGCCATGTGTGGCTAGAGGGTTATCATATTACATAGTAAGTGATCAGGCAGAGAATGAAAATCACTAGTTTTCCCCTGCATAGTGTGATCTGAGTAACAGTTTCCAAACAGAGGGAAAAATATCTTTTAGTTAGAATCACGATACTGGCCAAGGAACTAGGTAAGCTGTGCGTGAGATACAAATAAATTCAGCAAAAGAATTTACCAATAATAAATATACATGTAACTTACGTATTTTTAGGAAAAATGTTACCTAAAAGGTAAAATCATTTAAAAATTTCAAATAAAGAAGGTTTAGTCAGATCTTAAACAGAAGGTTTAACGTATATAAACTTTAAACACCCTTCCTGGCATATCAAGAGATATGCCAAAGTATTATCATTTGGTCTAAAACTCTAATCTCTGAGCATGCACACTTTAAAAAGGGAAGGTGTCTGACACAGCGTATCCTTACGCCATTACACTTTTCTCCTTAATATATTATCCTACTTCTGGATAGGAAACACTTTTAAATTCAGCTCTCCCTAATATATCACTGAATATTATTAAACTTTTAAAAATGTTGCTACATTTGTATGCTGTTAACAAAGATTGTACATACCAGTGCAAGTAATTGATGGAATAACTCCAGTGATCTTCAATATGCCAGCAAAAAGAAGAGAAACACATTCCCACATACAGCCATGGTACTTTCATACCAGAGATGTCTACATTAATATGTGCAAGAACAGACTGCTCTAGGACAGGCATGTTATTCAAGTTCCAACCAGAAAGTGCATATTCCTATAAAGAAAAAAAAATGTGAATGAGAGATCAGAAATGACCAGTGCCCAAAACAAATCTCAAGGGAGTCTTCAAAAAAAGAAGTAAAAATTTTACATTTATAGTAAGCCAGTGCATAGAATCTGTGTTTTCTACACCTAAATATTTAATTCTATCTTTTTATTTAGGTAGTATTTATATTTCCCGTTAATTATTTCAGGTATCTCTGGTTTATTCTGAAGAATATGAACAAGGCTTTTTACTACTCCCCCCCAGCTTACCAGTAAAATAGTGTGAGACTCATTTTAATAGGTCACTATTATAGTTCTGCTTTATGCCCAGCAGCATAACTTCCAAAAATATCTATCACTATACTTTTAGAATGGTGCCACATAATGAGGACATAGTAGGACACATAATCGTGAATTTGTGGCAACACTAAAGATTGAGATGATGCAGAAAAGTCAACATGACCAACCCCCTCATTACAACCTCATCTAGAAATATTAGATAAATTATGATAACAAAACATTTGTTTCATAGATGGACTCAAGAGAAAATGATTCCCAGTTTCCAGAAACAAAGAAAGAAAGCAAAGCTAGAATGAAAGCAATTGTCTGAATTTTCATAGAGGTCTCTAACAAATATAAGCACTGGACATCGAATACCAAACACCCACCCCTAAAACCGTATGAGATAGACTTAAAAGTTCTTATCCTTGTAAAGAGCATTCCTCAAATTGGGGTCTAGGAAGCCCAAGACTATTTCAGGGGATCTGCAAAGTCAAACTATTTTCTTAATAATACTAAGATGTTATTTGCCTTTTTCACTACCATTCTTGCAGAAGTATAGTGTGAGATTTCCAAAGGATGTGTGATATGTGATATCAGAATGACTGAATATAGGAAACATAACAGAATCCAACTGCCTGCCAGTAGAAGGTTGATAACTGTTGAACCTGGATGACAGGTACTGAGGGAGGAAGGTAAGTATATTATTACATTTATTTTTATACACTTGAGACTCTCCATAATACAGAGTTTAAAAATAAAACACTCAACACTGACACAATGACAAAGCTGAAGAGAGAATCTGTGAAACAGACATATTTGAGGATATCACCCATAATGCATAACAGAAATGAAAACTATCAAAGTACACTGAAGCATCACAGAGGACAGCACAGGCTGAGTGGCTTGATTGGAGAGTCATCCCATACACCAAAAATGGTTGCAGGCTCGAGCCCCGGTGTGGGCATGTACTAGAGGCAACCAATTGATCTCTCTCTCCCCACACCCTGCTTCTCCTCTCTCTTAGAAAATAAAATTACCCTTGAGTGAGGACTTTAAGAAAAGTCACTGAGGATAAAATAAAATTCAACATAGTTTTGACTAGGAATTCCAATAAGAATAAATAGATATGAAGGCTTTAAAATGAAGAAGCTTTAAAAATACTACTCAATACATTTTTTAGTTGATTAGGTGGTTGGCTGAAAAAATAATGAATCTAGTTGAAGACCTAAGACCTATATACAAAAGTTCCAAGACAAGGCAATATGTATTAAATTACAAATACAGACGAAACAGTAAATTCTATAGTTCTTTTGAGGACAGCAAAATAGTAGTCATCATGAGTTGGAATTGTAAAGAAAAGGTTGTGGAAAATAAAGAAGCTGAGTGGAGCTTGAAAGGATAGGTAAGATCTGAAAGTAAATGACAGAATATAGCGGTCTATCTGATGAAGGGGCAGAGTAGAACAGTCATACTTGGTAAAACAGGAATTAAGACCAGAAAAAAAGATTGGATCTTTAATACTAAGTTTCAAACTAAAAAGCTTGAATTTAATCTTACCTACAAAAGGGAAAACAAATGCATCTTAAATATTTTAAACTTATGATTATGGAAATTTCAATATAAACAAAAGTAGACAGACTTAGATAATGAACTCCCAAAGACCTACCAATCTTAAAATTTTAAGTGAAATAAAACCATAAGAAAGACTGCAGAGAGAAGCACTAAGCAAAAAACAATTAATATGGCAGGCCTAGGATTGCTATCCCTCAAAGGCCTGCTTAAAGTTTGGCCCTTGGTTGGCATTTGGAAACTCACATGATACAGAGTTCCTTACAGTGACTGAGTGGCTCACAGGGCCTAGACTGTGCAATGTGGTTTATGTGCACTTGTCTTCCTTCCAGGAATCTGAATCTTGGTATATATGTTGGGCAGAGGGTGTCTATGTTGCTAGCTTTCAAAAACCTCGAGCACCATCTCTAATGAGGTTCCTGGTAAGTAACATTTCATTCATTGTCAATTTGATACTGAAATAACTTAAGTGCACCTCTGTGACTCCATTGGGAGAGCACTCTTGAAAGCTTACAGATGGTTTTCCCTGGACTTTGAACTCACTCACATCTTCTCCCTTTGCTGATTTCCTTTGTACCTATTTACTGTAATAAACCACAGCCATGAGTCCTCCTAGAAAATCCCTAAACCTGGAGATGGTCACAGGGAATCCCAACACAAGTAGTTATTATGTAAGACCATGGCAACCATCCCAACAAGATGTGGTAAGACCAAGAAAAGGAAGGTAGTAGTGGGAACAAAAAGAGGTTAATCCGAGAGAAAATAATAAAAAATGAATTGACAGGATTCAGTCAATGATTTAATACAGAACAAAGAAAAAAATAATATTCCCAAGGTTTCAAGTTCTATGCTATCTGTATTCTTCAAAAGCCGTTTGTAGAACACACTGCACTCATAAGACAAATACACTAACTTTGACAGTACTTTTCCACTATGCTGTAATACCAGAAATGCATACTATCAGATACCCAAGGCTAACCCATAAAATGAATGTATTTTTCTTGTGAAAAACTAGTGGTCATCTATTATTCTAACAAAATCACAGGACAGTAACAAATTGACATAAAATATAAAAAGTCTGAAGACTTTATACACATTTTCTAATTAGTCCTTACAATCCTTTTGTGATAAATGGGTTCTCTCCAACCTTCAACATAAAAACAGAGAGACTTCCGCCAAGATGGAGGCATAGGTGGATGTGCCGTGCCTTCTCACACAACCAAGTTTAGAGACAACTAAATATTAGCAACAGAAAACATAGCCAGAACACGGAAAATTGAAATCTTCGGAAGTCCATTAAGAACAAATTCTTCAGCCTGACCGGTAAGGGGCGAAACCAGTGGCTGGTGAAGCAGGGTTGCACAGGAGGACTCGGCCAGACAGACTCAGGCGCGCGGAATCCAGGCGCAGGGTTGGACCTAGTGAGGGACCGTGTTAGTGACCAGGCAAGCGACCACGGGGGAGACAGCGGGGCAGCGGGGCTGCGGGTTGACTGTGGTCACGCATTTGTGCGCGGGTGGACAGGCGAGGGAGTGAGCGGTTGGACCGGGGCCCGGCGGGACCCCGTGGCAAGCGGCAGTGGAGGGCGCCGCCATTTCCCTGCTCTGACCCCACCTACACATACAGCATAATAACCCAGTGACTCTGAGTGGCCCGGCCCAGGTGAACCACCTAAGGCGCTGCTCCTCACCCAGCAGAGAGAAACAGCAGAGGGGGGAATCACCATTTCCCCGCTCTGACCACGCCCCCACGTACAGCGTCACAACCCAGGGACCTGAGAGTCCAAGGTGCCGCTTCTCACACTTAAAGGGTGCGAACAGACCAAAAATGGCTCAAGAAAATCTCAAGCCCCAGAGCCAATAGATCTAAGTGATGAAGAAATAGCAAAACTCTCAGACGCACAGTTTAAAACACTGGTGATCAGGATCCTCACAGAACTCGTTGATTATAGCCACAAATTAGACAAATATATGAAGGCGAAAATAATTGAAATGAATGGAACTGCACAGGAAACCAATAGCAATGAAAAGGAAACTGGGACTCAAATCAATGGAGTGGACCAGAAGAAAGCAAATAATGGCCAAACAGAAAAGATCAAGAAGCAAGAATTCAAAGAAATGAGGAGAGTCTTAGGAACCTCCAGGACATCTTTAAACGCTCCAACATCTGAATAATAGGGGTACCAGAAGGGGGAAAGGCACAGCCACCAGTGGAAAACTTATTTGAACAAATAATAAAGAAGAATTTCCCCAATCTGGCAAAGGAAATAGACTTCCAGGAAATCCAGGAAGCTCAGAGAGTACCAAAGAAGTTGGACCCAAGAAGGAACACACCAAGGCACATCATCATTACATTAGCCAATATTAAAATGAAGGAGAGAATCCTAGAAGCAGCAAGAGCTAAGGGGACAGTCACCTACACAGGAGTCCCCATCAGACTGTCAGCAGATTTCTCAAAAGAGACCTTACAGGCAAGAAGGGGCTGGAAAGAGGTATTCCAAGTCATGAAATCCAAAGACCTACAACCAAGATTGCTCTATCCAGCAAAACTTTCATTTAGAATGGAAGGACAGATAAGGTGCTTCTCAGATAAGGTCAAATTCAAGGAGTTCATCATCACCAAGCCCTTATTATATGAAATGTTAAAGGGACTTATCGAAGAAAAAGAAGTTAAAGAAACATGAACAGTGAAAGGACAGCAAACTCACAGTTATTAACAACCACACCTAAAACGAAAGCAAATTAAAAGGACAGCTAGATCAGGAGTGGAAACATAGAAATGAAGATCTCAAGGAGGGTTAGCAACAGGGGAGTGGGAGGAGGAGAAGGGGGGAGAAGGTACAGAAAATAAGTAGCATAGACAGTAGATAGAAAATAGATGGGGGGGGGCAAGAATAGCATGGGAAATATAGAATCTAAAGGACTTGAGACACATGGTCATAAACTAAAGGGGGAGTAATGGTGGGGATGGGGGGGTAGGGTGGAGGGGAATGAAAGGGGGAATAGAACAACTGTAACAGCATAATCAATAAAAAAAAACATAAAAACAGAAATGAGTTAAACATCATTGCTGAGAAAATAAATAACAAATCCACAATCTGGTCTAGAAAAAGAGTTGTATCTCCTATCTCCTCATACTACGGGTGGTATCTTTAAAACC